GTGAGCCTCTCTGTTGAGCAGACTATTGAAATAGCCTGTGCAGAGCTTGAGCATTTCATTGTTGTATGCGTATACAAACCTCCTAGTGCGTTATATGAATCATTCGAAAATAGATTGGAAGAAATATTATTGAAATTATCTGAATCTAATAAATTTATGATTGTCTGTGGTGACTTTAACATAAATCTTCTAGAAAATTCTACCACCACTATTAGATTCAGATCATTGTTAAATTCATATAACCTTTCTAACCTATTTTATGAACCAACTAGAATCACTACTTCTTCGGCAACTTGTATAGACAATATATTTACAAATTATGAACCAATCGATAAGTCAATTATTAATATGTTAAATTCAGACCATTGTGGACAACTTGCAATTTTTAAATTATATAACAAAAGTAGTGATGATAAATTACAAAAAATAATGTTTGTTCCTGTAAATAGAACTCGTATTGAGAAGTTTAGAAGTAATATAACAAAAAAGCTGACATATTTACCTTATAATGACAGTCCAGATGCGCTTTACAACACATTATTTAAATTAATTAAAACTGAATTTAATGCTATATTTACTTCTAAGACAGTCAATCGTAAAAGCTCTGCAGTTTTCAATGATTGGGCAACAGTCGGAATTCATAAGAGTAGGCGTAGACTGTATGAACTGTATAATGAAAGGACATTCAATCACAGTAATTCTTTTGTAGCTTATGTTAGCGCCTATTCTAAAATATTTAAAAAAGTTTGTTATCTGGCTAAATCAATATTTATTAAAAATAAAATAAAAAGCGCATCTGATAAAATCAAAATGACGTGGAATATAATAAATAGTGAAACGGGTAGACTTACGAAGCGCAACTCTGACTTAACCTTAACTGATGGTATTAATACTATTCAATCTAATCAGGAGGTTGCCAATTTTTTCGAGAAATTTTTTGCTGACATTCCTGTTTTCTACAACTAAGTCACTTCTCTCTTCTCCGACAATTGCCGAATCATTACTTAAGAAAAATGTTATGGAATGTAAAGAAAACTTTAAGTTTACTACTGTTAATAAGAACGATATCATAAAAACATTCAAATCTCTAGATATTAAAAGAACTGCTGATCTATGGGGGATCTCTGTCAAGGTGATCAGTTCTATAATTGATGTAGTCTCACCTTACTTAGCAACTATTTTTAATATTTGTATTCAACGTGGCGAGTTTCCTGACCTTATGAAACATAGTAAGATTATTCCGGTGTTCAAATCTGGTAGTACTTCTGACCCCAGCAATTTTAGACCTATTTCAGTACTACCGACTCTTAGTAAAATTTTTGAAAAAATTATTTTGAATCAAATGTTACTCCATTTTAGTACACATAAATTGCTGCATAACAAGCAATATGGATTTACTAGGGGTCGCTCAACAACAGATGCGGGTATCCAGCTTGTGAAGAATATTTTTGAAGCCTGGGAAGAGTCACAGGATGCCTTAGGTATATTCTGTGACTTAACTAAAGCATTTGATTGTGTACAGCATGACACTCTGGTCAGGAAACTAAACCACTATGGTATAAGAGATGCCGCACTCAATCTTCTGACATCGTACTTGAGCTATCGTGTTCAGAGAGTTGACGTGAATGGCAAGAGATCTCCCGGGGCCCTGGTAAGTATGGGGGTTCCACAGGGATCTATTCTGGGGCCTTTTCTCTTCCTCATCTACATAAATGACCTGCCCTATCTTGTAAATAATGATCATGAGATAGTATTGTTTGCTGATGATACTTCTTTAATTTTTAAAGTTAAACGACATTCTTCAAATTATGACGACGTTAACAATACTCTCTCCACTGTAGTGCATTGGTTTAGTGCTAACAACTTAATGTTGAATAGTAAAAAAAACGAAATGTATTAAATTTACAACTCCCAACGTAAAAAGTGTAAAAACTGATGTACTTTTACATGGGGAAGCGTTAGACCTCATTGACTCGACTGTATTTCTTGGCATAACCGTAGATGCCAAATTGCAGTGGGGCCCCCATATTAATAAACTGTCGAGTAGACTTAGCTCAGCAGTCAGTCTTTGCAGTCAAAAAAATTAGACAGTTGACTGATGTGGATACGGCTCGTCTGGTATATTTTAGCTATTTCCACAGTATAATGTCTTATGGCATTCTACTTTGGGGAAATTCAGCCGACATAAATACTATTTTCATCCTGCAAAAGAGAGCTATTCGAGCGGTTTATAACCTGGGCCCCAAAGACTCACTAAGAAACCTGTTTAAAGAAATAAAAATATTGACTGTAGCTTCTCAGTACATACTTGCTAATGTTATGTATGTCCACAAAAATAAGAATGACTTTTCAAAATTTAGTAATGTGCATGATGTAAATACTAGGAACAAGCATAAATTAGTTCTACCCTCAACTAGATTGCGTAGAATAAGTAAATCTTTTATGGGACAATGTATACGCTTTTACAACAAAATCCCAGAAAACGTTCAAAATGAATCTGTTGCTAAATTCAAAAAACTTGTAAAGGAACGTTTGTGTGTTAATGGCTATTATAGTATTAGTGATTATATGAATGATAACACACTCTGGAAATGAATTGATCGCTCCAGGCTCTTTCAAGTGGAGTTTAATAGGAGTCTAATAATTGTACACATATTTGTAACTTTTTTGGCAAGTAAAAAAAAAATAAAGTCCCGCTGAGTTTCTTACGCCGGTTCTTCTCAGGTCAGTGGCTTACCTTCCGAACCGGTGGTAGAGTTTTTTGACTATCAATAAGTAAGTGAATGCTTCTATATTGAATAAAGATATTTGACTTTGACTTTGACTATAGAAATGGGTCTAAAGTTAGTGGGGTCCGAACTCCGAAGTACTACCGGATTTAAATACAGGTATGACTTTAGTGTGTTTCATGAGATCAGGAAATACGCCAGAATCTACACTACTGTTAAAAATTATTGAAAATAAGGTGCGATTGAATCTATTATTGAGGCAATCACTTCAACGGACATTCCCTACAGATCTGCCGTTTTCTTAAGTTCAATGGTCTTAAACATTTTTATCATATTCTTATTTTTTATCATATTCTTTTTTTTATCATATCTTTTGCTGTATATCAGCCTGAAATTTAAAGATTGTGGTGCAAGCACTTACATTTTCCTTAAGTAATTTCTCTGTTAAAGTAGGAATCTCACTAAAGAATTTCTCAAATACTTCAGCTACCTCCTGATTAGTCGTTATAAATTTACTATCAATATTGAGTTGGTAGTCAGACATACGTGATTTGGTTTTTCCTGTTTCACTATTAATAATGTACCAAGTAATTTTTACTTTATTAGAGGCATTTTTAATTTTATTTCTCAAATGTAATGACTTGGCGGCAAAACACACATTTTTAAATATTTTTGAGTAATTTTTAACGTAATCTTTAAATGTCTCAGAATGGTTGTATGACCTTTCACTGTAAAGTTCATACAATCTTCGTCTACTGCGGTGAAATCCTGCTGTTGCCCATTCATTAAAAGTCTTGCGACTGTTCAAAGAGAATGTTTTAGAAGTAAAAACGGCATTGTATTCGATTTGTATGAAATTAAATAATGAACTATACAAGGCGTTAGCATTGTCATAGTAGGGCAGCATAGGTAGTTTTTTTGTTAAATTACTTCTAACCTTCTCCTTATAATATTTATTTATCGGAACAAACAAAGCTTTCCTAGTATCTTGGATTTTACAGTGCAGAGGCAATGTGACAAACTGCCCTGAATGGGCAGAACTTAATTTATGTACCGATAATGTTCTTAATTTGTAACCCAATAGCTAACTCTAATAGATGACTCCGTGGCGCAGTCGCCAAGGTATTGACTTCGGCGTCTGGGGTCGTGGGTTCGATTCCCACACGAGACAATTACTATTAGTGTGACCCACAGATGGTTGTTTCGCATCTGGGTGTTTTCAGAGTGAAATTTATGTTTGTAAAACGTCCTTACAACACAGGATAGTGTTCTTCGTTATACAGGAGATCAAATAAAATGTGACAAATAATCCCAGAACACTGAAAACATGAACTGTTTTTGCAGCCGTTTATGACAGAGGACGGCATTATTTCGCAATTGTTATTTTATTAAGCTACGTCATGCAATCTCACTCACTCGCTACAGACTGTCGAGAGACCGTCTTCATATGACAGAATAGTCTTCATATTACGTGCCTCACTCATGTCTGAGAAAATCGATGCCACTATTGCATCGGTCATAAATGCACGCTTAACAAGGTACGTAGCATATTCTTTAAATAAATTAAAAGACATATACTTCGAAAGTATGTGAAGTCTGCCAATCCGCAAAGGGGTCTCGTGGTGGACTATGCTCTATACCTTCTGTACAGAGTGGCCCTGCCCAGCATTGGGACATGATAGGCTCTATTTTACTTTACCCTAGACTTTTTGAAACTTTACTTATTTAAAACTAATATATCACTTTACCCGTTTCAAATAAAACGAACACACACACATCACACACCGTGCACGTTCCAATCAAACGAACCAAATGCTGACCGTGCTTGTGAATTGTTACAACTTTTTTAAGATTCATACCTTACACTAATAATGAAAAACAATTAAATCTATTTATATAATTTGAAAGTGCGTCTATCAGTTATTTTCCCACTGTCAAATAGCCAATATCTAAATCTATTGTTAAATCTGTTGTTAATGTTTAAACATAGGTGTCTCGAGGGGTTGTTTTGAAAGTCAAATCATAATTATGAATATACGAAAAGATTACATAGTTGTTTCTTTTAAATTATAAATAATAATTTTTATGTTCATACATAAACTTCACTAGTTTTTGTATTAAGTATTTTTTAGATGTTGGTTCACTTTAGGATAGTAGGTAATGTTTTTAAAATTTCATATTGAATGATTTAATATTGACTCCTTCGCAATGACAGGCATAGGATTGTTGTAAACAAGTGTGTGAGTGGTTAATAGAGCCCGTGTGGCGCAGGAGGCCGCGGCGGGGCGCGGCCGGCGCGCGCGCTCCTCGCGCTCGGCGTCGCCGCGCTCGCACGAGCCGCCGCTCGGCGCGCGCCCCCTCTCGCTGCCAGGTGATCTTCCTTCTCTTCTCTTCTCTTCTATTCTCTCCCCTTGTACTCCTTCTATGCGACCGCAAAACTTAAACGGAACGCAAACAAATACATCGATTATATGTGCCAGAGAATACACAAAAGGGGCGCAACGGTCATTCGCTTTCTTATTCCCATAGAACATTGGCGATGAATTGCGAACTTTGTTTTTTATTCTTTGTAGATGTATTTTCATTATAAAGTTTTGCTCTGACTGCGAGTACTCGTTCCGCCATGGATTCTGTCTATGTGGTGTGTGGTGGGTGCAGGTGAGAGCCACCTGCGCAGCGCGCTGGGCAGGCGCGGGCTGCGGCGTCCGCACCTGCCGCCCCTGCCCCACCTCGCCCCGCTCGCCCCCCTCGGCCCCCTCGGCCCCCTCGGCCCAATCGGCCCAATCGGCCCCATCGGCCGCCGCGACGACGCCGCGCGCCTAGTGCCCCGTTGCGACCACTGAGCGCGACCCATTGGAGTCGGCCGGTTTAATCGGCTTCCTTACCGAACGTGTATATTCTGAACTTGAAAGAAAAAAGTGACAACTCGATAGGGGCACGGGCGTGTGGCTTGTATACATAACATGAAGTAGGGCGAGCGCGGAAGTGTGGTAGTGCGGAGGTGAAACGAGTCGAGGTGTGTTCAAGCTGCGGAATGGGGTTTGCAACATTTCGAGGATTCGTCTGTGAGACTACGCTCAATATAGCACATATTACGCGCACGTTAATTGTAAATGCTAAGATGATCGAATTTTATTTCAACCTCAATATTTACTATGTGTAAGGGAGTTTTCGATCAATCCATTATGGCAATCGGTATTATTTGAAACCAATATTTTACTCTGTGCATATTTTTAAAGGAAAGTTTGGCCATGCACGAATGATAAATTCTTTATTTCGAACTTTAAAAAGCTTACAAACAGTATTGTACATTATAATAGTTAAAAAGGTTTTAACACCGACATTAACGGTCGGTAAGTACGTACGGGCCATTACTGATAAAAAGCATTTTGTTTCTTTGTTATTTACGATTTCGTGTTTACAGGTTAGGTTATATTGAATAGAAATTAACTTATTTAGGTACTTATAGAAAAATGTTCTGTAATTTAAATTTATTTTTAATTAGTTAAATCTTATAACCTAAAAACAGTGGAAGTTTTAATTATTTGTTTGGGCCTGAATAATTTTTATTAAATGCCGTGTTTTCTCGCTATACCCACGCATACTTTCGCCTTTTTTTAATTCTTTAAATTTAAATCCTTATACTTAAAGAATTATTAAGCTAAAAATGAATTGTTATCATTTCAAAAATTAGTAAGAACAAAGCTATAATGTGCTTTGGCCGCTGATTGTATCTTTGTATAATATTATGTGAATTCCAAAACAGAATGTTATGCTTCCATATTTTGTCTAGATGTAAGACGAATTGAATTGTTATTCTTTATATCTCGTATGTTGTCGTAATATATTAATTATGATATAAAAGTAAAATTTGGAACGGGACAGCCGTTCCTTGAAATCGATTTTGAACCGTAATTTATATACATTTATTTCAGCTTGCAATAAAATTAACTGTTTTCGATATACTGAGTGAGTATGTCTTCGTTGTATATGTTATAAGTGTTTATGTTGAGGTGCTCTATTGACGAGCTTAGTTTGAGATTGTCTCAGTGTTAACGGAAACGGATATTACTTGAACAATTCTATCGTTATGTATTGTTGTGTTGTACGTTAGAATAAATACTCATCTAGTGTGATAAGTCAATTGTAGAGTCAACATTACCAAAAAGCACATTTTAAGAATAAGTTTTGGTGAATTTTTGTTTTTTTGTAACTTTTATTAATTTGTTTACATTTGTACTTAAAACTTGATGGTTTCTTTTTCTATAAATGAACTATAAATTATACATAGGTTTCTAAGACGGAAGTATTTTCCTCTTTCGGTACCTGAATGTGACCAAAGTATATGTGATTCTTTATTTTCTGTGATTTTTAATGCCATTTTAGTCAACTTTTTCGTTATATTCAATAGGTATTAGGAAAAGCTTTAATTATCATTTAAAACGATCAACCTTTGTACAGTTTTGTTATATTTGCCCTGGTTTATTTAATTCTTTATGATGATGTGGTGTCCGTGTGCGGACGAGTTAATCGGACGATCGCTGGTCGATGCAAGGGCGGATCCAGCTTTGGTGCCAGGGGGGAGGGGGGGTCACGTAGTCGTGGTCAAGTGATAAGAAGTTATAATTTATTTTTTATAATCATAGATACAAGTAAAAAGTAGGTACTTATTTTTAACCGACTTCAAAAAGGAAGTTATCAATTCGGATGTTTATATTTTTTATGTCGGTATGTTCGGGCATACCTTCGTCATATATAGACAGATTTGCAAAATTCTTTTTTGTTCGTAACATTTCGTTACTTTTTATTATCATATATTATACAGGGTGGCCTTTATAAAGGTGCCCAAATTCACACAGGAGGTTCAGACTCGGTAGTATAATCGTTTATTGAAGTAAAAAAAAAACTTTTTTAAAAAGAAAAATTAGCATTCTATTCCCTAAAAACAACAACAAACTTGTTGCCAATACAGTAGTCATTCATAAATGCGTCGTATACTTTTGAAACGAACTTTTGTGCGTGTTAGTTATGAATGATCGCGCGTAAAATAAATTTCATGTAGTCATATTGGTTATAATATTCACTATTCCTCTACTCCGCACGCTAACTCCACTTCAATGACAAGTAGCGTAAGACGGGCCTATCGGGACACAGGTTAGTAATAATATACAGCGTGTCGTTACCATCGCGACAATAAATGAACACGCATATAGGGGATATCTTTTTAAAGTTGTATTAAATATTTAAATTCTTTAAACATCAATATTTACAGAGTTATTAAATTTTTCAAAACAAAGAATTTTAGAACATCCTTACCAGCTATAAAAGCGTAACGTAAAGTTCATTTGTAAAGGTCACAAAGCATATGAATGGGTTGAATGAATTTAAAAGAGACAAAACATACTGTTAGAAGGAGAGGCTACAGTATGGCTATATATGAATATGAGAGGATACGACGCTGTGACGCGAGTTGTATAGGTGTTTCAAATTTTGTTTCTTTTTTACTTAATTAGTTTGTTTGAAAAATATTTTTTTTTGAATTATGGATTTTGTTATTTATTTTTTTTATGATCATTGGCAAGTAGTGTTAGACGTTTGTTCATTTATTGTCGCGATGGTAACGACACGCTGTATATTGAACCCAAATGAAAAGTCCTAAAACAGCCGTACACAAAATAAAATTACATTGTCTGCATTAAAAAAATGTTCATAAAACAAAAAACAAAACAAAAAAAATATTTATTCAGTCATTCATTCATTCATAATAGTGATGAATAAATGAATAATAACAAATTCATTCATAATCAAAGACAGAATCCACAATCATAACAAACGGAACGAACAAACTTTTTTTTCCAAAGATGGTCTCGCATACTCACGTTCACTAAACCACCACATCTCACCACCCATCAAAAACAGTCCACCCATTAAGACGAATCAAACTCGACGCAGTTGTGTTCTTTAATTTCTGAGTTCCTATGGCCACATTCTAGCTCTGTCATCAGACCCTGGTTACCATCCTGCACCAAAGAACTCGTCATGACGAATCAAACGAGCCGAGATACAATAGGGTTGCGTCGTTTCTCACGATCACGTAAGAATCACGTAAATCGGATCATAAATCTCAACGTAATCGGTGTACATACATCGAAAAAAATATAACAATCGAATTGAGAAACTCCTCCTTTTGAAGTTGGTTAAAAATATTACATTCATTTAATTAAATATTGAAGGTACTTACATAAAATCTATATTGTGGCAAAAATATGTAAAAACATTATGTTTAACAATTTTAATTAGTGGTCCACCTAGGTCCTGGACCCTGCCCAGGGGGGGGGGGGGGGGGGGTCATGACCCCCATGACCCCCCCCCCCCCTGGATCCGCCCTTAGGTCGATGCTCAGATTGCACCGAATGGCAAATGTTCGCTAATAAATGGATAACTGGCCGTGGTACAATCTGCTAATTTCATTTATCTCCTTTGTTATAGGATATTCTGCAACATTTGATATTCCAAACAATTTGCTCAGAACATATTGTTGAGTGCTTAAAATAGTACCCGTCGTACTACAACTGTTTTAAGCGCTCAACATAATATCTTAAATAATACTGAAGATCAATCTGACAAATTGAATTCGCTGTCGGAATTCGGTCGCTGGCCATTCTGATTTACTTTGAGTTGCACGTAAGATTGCGTTGACGGCGTTTGAGGATCTTGTACACTAGTGACGTTCCAAGACAAATAGTTAAAATATATTAATTTATTTATACATGATATTGCACTTAACTCTTTACAAGAAGAAAAGTCCCAACGCCCCCTTTATATGTCTTTCGTCTATTGAAAATCAACATTTAATTCTCATCTCATTCTCTCCCAAAATCAAAGTCAAGTCGAAGTCAAATATCTTTATTCAATATAGAAGCATACACTTACTTATTGATAGTCAAAAAACTCTACCACCGGTTCGGAAGGAAAGCCACTGACCTGAGAAGAACCGGCGTAAGAAACTTAGCGGGACATTTTATTTATTTATTTTTTTAACTGACAAAAAATTACAAATATGTGTACAATTTATGAAATTCCACTTGAAAGAGCCTGGAGCGATCAATTCATTTCCAGAGTGTTGTCATTCAAATAATCACTAATACTATAATAGCCATTAACACACAAACGTTCCTTTACAAGTTTTTTGAATTTAGCAAACGGATTCATTTTGAACGTTTTCTGTGGATTTTGTTGTAAAAGCGTATACATTGTCCCATAAAAGATTTACTTATTCTACGCAATCTAGTTGAGGGTAGAACTAATTTATGCTTGTTCCTAGTATTTACATCTTGCACATTTTTAAATCTTGAAAAGTCATTCTTATTTTTGTGGACATACATAACATTTGCAAGTATGTACTGAGAAGCTACAGTCAATATTTTTAGTTCTTTAAACAAAATCAAATCAAAATCAAAAATATATTTATTCAAATAGACGCTTGCGCGCTCTTATGAATCGTCAAATTTTACATTGAAGATTATGTCTATATGTTCGTAAGGTACCACCGGTTCGGAAAGCAGTTTCTGTTGAGAAGAGACCGGCAAGAAACTCAACAGTTGCTCCTTTTCAACAGTATCAATTTGCAATATAATAAACAGGTACAATAGTCTTATTCTAGCCTACGTGAGTATCAACAGTATCAACTCCACACATTGGCGTCGTCGAGATATTCCGAAATGGTATAATATGCTTTAATCATTAGTTGATTTTTAATTTTACATTTAAATTGGTCAAGCGGCAGACTTAATATCGACTGTGGGATTTTATTATACATGCGCACACCCTGCCCCATGAA